AGGAGCAAACGTTTTTTTTTAGCAAAGACTAAAACCAGCCGCATTAATTCGTGAATGCAATTTCCTAAATGGAACGGTTTATTTGTTGTTTATGCTAATTATTGAAGGGTCGCTTTATTTTATTTTACAACTAAAATGCTTAATTGCATTTCAAATCATGAATGACTGGTATGCTGTGTGATGACATGTACGAATGAATGATTGATACAGGACTATAGCTGATAAGTATTGAAATATAGGCCTAAGGAAGTTCCGGTATTCAGACTAAACAGGACGCGCTCTTAGGCCTACAGCTCGATGGTGGTTATACAAGGCTGCTATACTAAGCCTACTATTGATAATGACATTACTTATTCTAATAATAATAATGATGATCATAACAGTAATAATAATATCAATAAGGAGATCAATACATTATAAATAATACCATTATTATTAGAGGCTGTTCTAACGAGAGAGAGAGAGAGAGAGAGAGAAAAGTGTAAAGCCTTTATTACAGCATAGCAAAGCTCCCGAGTGGCCCAGCGGTCTAAGACACTGCATCTCAGTGCTTGAGGCATCACTACAGACCCCCTGGTTCGATTCCAGGCTGTATCACAACCGGCCGTGATTGGGAGTCCCATAGGGGCGGCGCACAATTGGCCCAGCGTCGTCCGGGTTTGGCCGGTGTAGGCCGTCGTTGTAAATAAGAATTTGTTCTTAACTGACTTGCCTAGTTAAATAAAGGTTAAATAAAATTAAAAACCAGCCAAATTTGTGAAATTGTTTATCCGACATGTTGTGGTTGGTGCTCAAGGAATCAGTAGGCTATTAAACAAACACTCAAACAGGCAACAGAAGTAGGATCTATTTTATTTCTGTAGATACCGCGCATTCGGAAAGTATTCAGACCCCTTCCCCTTTTCCACATTTTGTTATGTTACAGGCTTACTCTAAAATGGATTAAATAATTGTTTTTCCTCAGTCTACACGCTATACCCCATAATGACAAAGCGAAAAAAAATTTGTGGAAATGTTTGCAAATGAATTACAAATAAAAGGTACCGTATTTACATAAGTATTCAGACCCTTTGCTATGGGACTTTAAATTAAGCTCAGGTGCATCCTGTTTCCATTGATCATCCTTGATATATTTACAAGGTGATTGGAGTCCACCTGTTAAATTCAATTGATTGGACATGATTTGGAAAGGCACACACCTGTCTATATAAGGTCCCACAGTTGACAGTGCATGTCAGAGCAAAAACCAAGCCATGCGGTCGAAGGAATTGTCTGTAGAGCTCCGAGCCAGGATTGTGTCAAGGCACAGATCTGGGGAAGGTTACCAAAACATTTCTGCAGCATTGAAGGTCCCCAAGAACACAATGGCTTCCATCATTCTTAAATGGAGGAGGTTTGGAACCACCAAGACTCATCCTAGAGCTGGCCGCCCGGCCAAACTGAGCAATGGGAGGAGACGGACCTTGGTCTGGGAGGTGACCAAGAACCCGACGTAAACTCTGACAGAGCTCCAGAGTTTCTCTGTGGAGATGGGAGAACCTTCCAGAAGGACAACCGTCTCTGCAGCACTCTACCAATCAGGCCTTTATGGTAGAGTGGCCAGACGGAAGCCACTCTTCAGTAAAAGGCACATGACAGTTAAAAAATTGTCGGCCTTCAGTCACCCAGGTCATAGACTGTTCTCTCTGCTACCGCACGGCAAGTGGTACCGGAGCGCCAAGTCTAGGTCCAAAAGGCCCAATAGGATGCTCTTAATGGTGCTATAGAAGTTTATGAGGGTCTTAGGGGCCAAGACAAATTTCTTCAGCCTCCTGAGGTTGAGGCACTGTTGCGCTTTCTTCACTACACTGTCTGTGTGGGGTGGGCCGTTTCAGATTGTCAGTGTTGTGTACGCCGAGGAACTTGAAGCTTTTTAACCTTCTCCACTCCGTCGATGTGGATGGGGTGTGCTCCCTCTGCTGGCTTCTGAAGTCTATTCGGGTGGTATGCAAATTGCAATGGGTCTAGAGTGTCAGGTAAGATGGAGGTGATATGATCCTTAACTAGCCTCTCAAAGCACTTCATGATGACAGAAGTGAGTGCTACGGGGCGATAGTCATTTAGTTCAGTTAACTTTGCTTTCTTGAGTACAGGAACAATGGTGGACATGTTGATGCAAGTGGGGACAGCAGACTGGGATAGGGAGAGAGAGAATATTTCCGTAAACACTCCAGCCAGCTGTTCTGTGCATGCTTTGATGACGTGGCTAGGGATGTCGTCTGGGCCGGCAGCCTTGCGAGGGTTAACATGCTTAAATGTCTTATGTCGGCCACAGAGAACGTGAGCTCACGGTCCTGGGGAGTGTTGGTGGAAGGTGAGCTCACGGTCCTGGGGAGTGTTGGTGGAAGGTGAGCTCACGGTCCTGGGGAGTGTTGGTGGAAGGTGAGCTCACGGTCCTGGGGAGTGTTGGTGGAAGGTGAGCTCACGGTCCTGGGGAGTGTTGGTGGAAGGTGAGCTCACGGTCCTGGGGAGTGTTGGTGGAAGGTGAGCTCACGGTCCTGGGGAGTGTTGGTGGAAGGTGAGCTCACGGTCCTGGGGAGTGTTGGTGGAAGGTGAGCTCACGGTCCTGGGGAGTGGCGGTGGAAGGTGTTTAGCTTGTCCAGTAGCAAGATGTCGGTGTCCGCGATTTTGGCTGATTTTCCCTTTATAATCCGTGATTGTCTGGAGGCTTCTCGTGGCTGAGCCATTGAATTCTGACTCCACTTTGTTCCCGTCCTGACATTTTGCCAGTTTAATTGCCTTACAAAGGGCATAACTGGACTGTTTGTACTCAACCATATTCACAGTCACCTTGCTGTGGTTAAATGTGGTGGTTCGTGCGTTCAGTTTTGCATGAATGCTGCCATCTATCCACAGGTTTAGTTCGGATAGGTTTTACGTCACGGTGGAAACATCCCCTATAGTCACCGTGTCAGTGTATACTTCAATGTTATTCTCAGAGGTAATAATAATTAATATGCCATTTAGCAGACGCTTTTATCCAAAGTGACTTAGTCATGTGTGCATACATTTTTACGTATGGGTGGTCCCAGGGATCGAACCCACTACCCTGGCGTTACAAGCGCCGTGCTCTACCAATTGAGCTACAGAGGACGAGAACATATCCCAGTCCGCGTGATCAAAACAATCTTCCGAATGGTCAGACCAGTGTTGAACAGTCCTTACCACGGGTACTTCCTGTTTGAGTTTCTGCCTCTCGGAAGGGAGGAGCAGAATGGAGGCGTGATCTGATTTGTGGGAGGGCCTTGTAGCCGCCCCGGAAGGGAGTGTAGCAATGATCGAGAGTTTTTGATGTGCTAGTGGCGCAGGCAATGTGTTGGTAAATCTTCGGTAGTGTTTTCCTCAGATTTGCTTTGTTAAAGTCCCCAGCAACAATAAGTGTGGCCTCAGGATATGATGGTTTCTAGTTTGCACAAAGCCCAGTGTAGTTCCGTGAGAGCCGTTGTGGTATTTGCTTGAGGGGAATGTACACTGCTGTGACGATGACTTGGGCCACACACACTGGTTGTTTGCGGCAACACGTTCATCATATAATCAAAATATTTGGTTTCCTGGTAGGGTCTTTCTCTTTCAGTGAATCTGCCTTCTGCCATGGCATGGGTGATTCAGCCAAATGAAGTCGTGCAATGGGAAAGTAACCTGCACAAGACCTAGATACTTCATTTACATAACCCCACGGCTACTGTGAGAAAGCCCTTAGTGTAAATTCTAAAGGTACGTGGGTGGTTGTGGTGTCGAGCCCCCGCAGGGTAGAGCGTAGCCCCCACATCTTAAAAACCGCCATCTTGCTGTCGGCCCTAGTGAGTCCCAAATGGTACCCTATTCCCTTTATAGTGCACTACTGTTGACCAGAGCCCTTTACAGAAGAGCACTACTGTTGACCAGAGCCCATAGTTCTGTTTTCTGTAATGTGTACAGTACAACAACTTTCAATCAGTGGTTGCCATGGTGGCGGAGGTGATGTTATGCTTGCCTCATTGTATAGGTGGTGTTGAATGACCGTCTGACTGGTTCTGGGAGAAATGGCATCTTCCTTTCAGAACAACACACAGTTGGGTTGTATTCACTACTACTAGTAGACACCAAATGGAAGGAAACCAACGGAAACAGGGAGGGACTACCTGTTTCCCTTTGCCAAACGTTTTGCTACGGTGTGCCCTACTGAATATGCCCCAGGTGTAGGTTACTGTGGGCTGACGTTTTGCTACGGTGTGCCCTACTGAATATGCCCCAGGTGTAGGTTACTGTGGGCTGACGTTTTGCTACGGTGTGCCCTACTGAATATGCCCCAGGTGTAGGTTACTGTGGGCTGACGTTTTGCTACGGTGTGCCCTACTGAATATGCCCCAGGTGTAGGTTACTGTGGGCTGACGTTTTGCTACGGTGTGCCCTACTGAATATGCCCCAGGTGTAGGTTACTGTGGGCTGACGTTTTGCTACGGTGTGCCCTACTGAATATGCCCCAGGTGTAGGTTACTGTGGGCTGACGTTTTGCTACGGTGTGCCCTACTGAATATGCCCCAGGTGTAGGTTACTGTGGGCTGACGTTTTGCTACGGTGTGCCCTACTGAATATGCCCCAGGTGTAGGTTACTGTGGGCTGACGTTTTGCTACGGTGTGCCCTACTGAATATGCCCCAGGTGTAGGTTACTGTGGGCTGACGTTTTGCTACGGTGTGCCCTACTGAATATGCCCCAGGTGTAGGTTACTGTGGGCTGACGTTTTGCTACGGTGTGCCCTACTGAATATGCCCCAGGTGTAGGTTACTGTGGGCTGACGTTTTGCTACGGTGTGCCCTACTGAATATGCCCCAGGTGTAGGTTACTGTGGGCTGATAGGCCATCGCTCATTCTTTGTTCTCAGATGGGAGCTCAACGGTAGGCACTGTGTAGCTTTAATCATTCAAAATGTCTGCCTGGTTTCCAGAGCTAATTGTTCCTCGTCTCTTTGTTGATTTGCAGGAGCTGAATGACCTGGCTCGTGACCCTCCGGCACAGTGCTCGGCAGGACCAGTGGGAGATGACAGTAGGTGTCTTAGTCGTGTTGTCGTGGAACTGTTGAAGGCAGTGTTTCTTAATCCTGGTCCCGAAGAACCAAAGGGGTGAAATATTTTAGTTTTTGCCCTGATCAAAGGTGCGACGAGCGTTAAGAAACACTGGTTAAAGATTATAATACCCATTTAATGTGCACTAACTCACTTTCTCTCCTTCCGTCAGTGTTTCACTGGCAAGCCACAATCATGGGACCTGTAAGTACAAGTCATATATCCCACTTTAATGGGAGAATTTTCTAAATTCTTGAATTGCTAGTTTGATGAATGTATTCCATTTTCTGGAAGTAAAGGCTTTTGGAGTGAAATGTGATCAGTAGTAATTACAGATGGACTTTAATGTGATGCTCTTTCTCTCCTTTCAGAATGACAGTCCATATCAGGGGGGTGTTTTCTTCTTGACCATTCATTTCCCTACAGACTATCCTTTCAAACCCCCAAAGGTAAGGGGTCCATGTCACCTCACATAGGTTAGCAAAGGGGCTCGTTCCTAAATCAGTGTCAAATGGTTAGACTTACGGCCATTTGTATTGTTCTAGGCCGCAGCCTGGTGGTGCTGTATGTAGTTGATGTTAGGTAGCAGGAGGGCATGATTTACTGTATTAACATTTTGTTGAATTCATCTTTCCCTGTCTCTCCTCTCTCTCTCTCTCTCTCTCTCTCTCTGGTCTTCTGTTAGGTCCTCTCTCTGTCTTCTTTTCTCTGTTCTCTTCCCCTGTCCTCTCTCTCTCTCCTCTCTCTCTCTCTGTCCTCTCTCTTCTCTCTCTCCCCCTCTCTCTCTCTCTCTCTCTCCTCTCTCTCTCCTCTTCTCTCTCCTGTCTCTCTGTCTCTCTGTCTCTCTGTCTCTCTGTCTCTCTGTCTCTCTGTCTCTATGTCTCCTCTCCCCCCTCTCTCCTCTCTCTCCCCCTCTCTCTCTCCCCCCTCCCCCTCTCTCTCCCCCCCCTCCTCTCTCTCTCTCTCCCCCCTCTCTCTCCCCCCCCCTCTCTCTCTCCCCCCTCTCTCTCTCCCCCCCCTCTCCCCCCTCTCCCCCCTCTCCTCCCCCCCCCTCTCCCCCTCCTTCTCTCTCCCCCTCTCTCTCTCTCCCCCCCTCTCTCCCTCCCTCCTCCTCTCTCTCTCTCCCTCTCTCTCTCTCTATCCAGTTTAGCGTTTACCACAAGAATTTACCACCCCCAATATAACAGTAACGGCAGTATCTGTCTGGATATTCTCAGATCACAGTGGTCTCCGGCGTTAACTATTTCTAAAGGTGAGTTAGGACTACTCTGCGGCGGACAGATCCACTAAAGGTGCATTATGGGGCAGTTTCCTGGACACGGATTAAAGCCTAGTCCTGCACTATAAAGTTATTTCAATGGAGATTCTGGAGATGTTTTCTAGAATGAATGTGCCCCCAGTGGATATACTGTATATCAGACATTACTACATCGCATGGCCTTGATGTCTGAGAGCGAGAGAGAGTAGTCTATAGTGGGGATCTAATCCCATGCCCCTGTTTCTAGTTACATTACAGAGAAATGGGTTGTAACTCTTGTAACGGTCTTCCTCTGCAGTTCTTCTCTCCATCTGCTCCCTGTTATGTGACCCCAACCCAGACGACCCTCTAGTGCCAGAGATCGCGCGCATCTATAAAACAGATAGTGACAAGTAAGTGTCCTTTGTACTGTCGCTGTCTGTTGGAAATGCACCCGTCTCATTTTATACAGCAGGTGTCCTGGAAGGGCACACTTTATCTTTCATATTTTCGTTCTGTATAACCCAGTGAAAATACTTATTTTCAACCAGTTTTGGTCACTGGGAAAGTGATATGCATTATAACATGTTCCTGTCTGCGTTGTTGGTTACCTTTACACACAATCATGGTCTATAGCAGAGACGAAGCAGAATAATGCCCAGTGTCTCTCTCGAAGCAGAATAATGCCCAGTGTCTCTCTCGAAGCAGAATAATGCCCAGTGTCTCTCTCGAAGCAGAATAATGCCCAGTGTCTCTCTCGAAGCAGAGTAATGCCCAGTGTCTCTCTCGAAGCAGAGTAATGCCCAGTGTCTCTCTCGAAGCAGAGTAATGCCCAGTGTCTCTCTCGAAGCAGAAGAATGCCCAGTGTCTCTCTCGAAGCAGAATAATGCCCAGTGTCTCTCTCGAAGCAGAATAATGCCCAGTGTCTATCAAAGCAGAGAGAAAGATGTGTGAGGGTGGGGTGTGAGGGAGAGAAAGATGTGTGATGGTGTGGTGTGAGTACACCTGTTCTGTCTCCATCTAGATGGTAGCGGGGTGAACAGGCTGTGGCTCGGTTGGCTGAGGCCCTTTGATCTTTTTGGCCTTCCTGTGATACCGGGTGCTGTAGATGTCTTGGAGGGCAGGTAGTGTGCCCCCGATGATGCGTTGTGCTGACCTCACCACCCTCTGGAGAGGCCTGCGGTTGTGGACGTTGCAGTACCAGGCGGTGATACAGTCCGACAGGATGTTCTCAATGATTCATCTGTAGAAGTTTGTGAGGGTCTTAGGGGCCAAGCCGAAATTCTTCAGCCTCCTGAGGTTGAAGAGGCTCTGTTGCGCCTTCTTCACCACGCTGTCTGTGTGGGGTGGGCCGTTTCAGATTGTCAGTGATGTGCATGCCGAGGAACTTGAACTTGCAACTCAATAGTAGGAAGGTGTTCCTAATGTTTCGTATACTCAGTGTAGAATGGACGGAGAACCCCACTGGCTGAATGGACGGGGGCAGTATGGTTTGTGCCAGAAGGTGGAGAGGAGGTTGTTGTTTGGTGTTTATGGCAGCATGTTGTCTGGTCTCGCTGGATTCTCCAGAAGCTTCCGCATCACTCAGCCCACAGCTGTCTACCACAGTCTTGTAAGGCTTTAGTTTGGTTGTGTGTGGAACGCAAATGTGTTTTTGCTGTAGTCTAAAAGCTAGGCTTGAGTATGGATATTGGTGAATGGGTTTGTCTGTGCTTATTGTCCAGCCAGTGATTTTTAATTAGAGAACTAAATTGACCTTAAAGTTCAGATGTTTCATGACACAGGTGATGTGCAATTGAGAGTTCATGTATGGTGTTGATTGTCATCAGGGCCTGTATTCATAAAGCATCTCGGAGTAAAAGTGCTGATCTAGGGCCAGTTTAGCCTATTAGTTTATAATGAATGAGATTATATGGACAGGTGGGACCTGATCCCAGATCAGCACTCCTACTCTGAGAGGCTTTATGAATACAGGCCCTGGTCACTGATTAGTAAGGAACTCC